GTGGCACACTCATATCAGGAAAGCCAGGTTTCCTAGAATACTCTCTCCTATCTGCAGTCATTACTTGTATCACATTCCCTTTGGGTGGAGATTTGTCAAGATTCCTTCTGGAAGCTAAACCTGAGCTACCAATCACATCTATTGTCCCTGCCATTTTCCTTCCTGGAGGTGGTCCTGCTCTCTTTGGTCCCATTATACCAGAATATTTACTATTATCATTAGTAATTGCAACTTGAGGTACCCTCATACTCCCTGCATTGCCACCCCCTCCTCCTGCATTCAATATTAAACCTACTCCAGATTCACTTCTCATTCTTTTCTGTCTTTCACAGTAAGCTCTCCATGTTTCTTCATTGAAGCCATAATTAAAATAATCAGTGATGTCTGCACCAGGTTGCCTCCAAGGTTTATCTTCCAACTGATCTAAGTTGAACTCATGAGCAGGCATACCATTGATAACACCTATAGTTTCAAATTCATCTATACTGAATTTTCCAGGTTGCTTGTTCAATTTGTCTGGTACACCTGAGGCAGTTGTGAGTAATCCTCCTCTTTTTATATTGAGGCTACCATATGCAGGGGTCGATTTGATATCACCTATGACGACATGAACGTCGTCATCGGAATCGGAATCACTGGCAGCTTCACCATCCTCTTGACTGGAAGCTTCTCTTACTCCATTTTTATTCACTTCTGTATTGCTATCATTTTGAGCATTGTTAGCCGAAGGAGATTCTTCCTCTGGTGCTTCAGTCTCTTCGGGTGCCTGTAGGGACAAAAATCATTCGATGATTCCAAAATCGTTTATACGATCGAATAGGTTATGTTCTACGATTAATAACACATGTTTAATGTGATAAAATGTTTTCATTTATATGTCAAGGAGCATCATCAATAATCGGTATGGGAAAAGCTTAAACGCTAAATGTGTCGCAACTACTTTTGTTCGTTTTTCATCGAGGAAATCCGATAACAATAACCGGATGAACAGGTTAGAGGAAGCGTACCTCCGTCGGTGGATCAGGATCATTTTCTGTCTTTTGATCGTCCGAGGTTTGTGATTTTTCTTGTATCGCAGTAGGAATTGAGTCATTCTCCTGGCTTTCTGGTTGCACTGATGTCGGTGTATATTCCTTTCCATCGGTTGAATCACCGTACAACCATTGATCCTCATTTTCGTCCGCCATTTCTCCTTTCCTCTCACTTGACAACTAAAGAACCACGCATCCTCTGAACACGCGTAAATGATCAAAATACAAACGCTTCATAGTACAGGTTCGCCAACGTTCCGTTAACGGGATTACTATTTCGACAATTTACGCATTCGGTGCACGATATTTTCGTTAATTTATCTTAGATGTTGAATTATGCCTATGATTTTCATTCAGAAACGAAAATACAAATCTGATAAATAGGGAATTGATTATCGTATGACATAAAAAAAATTGCTCTAAGAGTGGTATGAATGTCCAAAAATTTTAATGATTTGACGTGTACAGAACGGTATAGTGAATTAGTGTAGCAGCAACAGTTTTGTTGTAAGTTTGTAGTTGAGATGGCTGCAGATAAAAATTCAGAAAATCTTGTAAGTTTAATATTAATTATGTGACTGTAATGAATGGATATTCGATGGAATATTTTTTCCTGATTTTCTCTGACACTAATGTCGAATACTTTTCGCTTTACACCGTGACCGTAATCATGTGCTAGACCACGCCACGTATGGTTCTTTCGGTTAACTTGAAAATTGTTATTTATTTAAATTTTGCATATTTAACGACGTGTTTACTTAATATGACAATGCGTCTATTGTAAAATTATGATTATTTTACGTTTTATAAGCGTTTAATGTTAGTTTTCGTTACCGGTATCACATGTTGGACCGCTGGCTTCATTCCAACGCGCATATGATATTTTTATGAAAGTTTAATGTTTTCAATCAATATTTTTTACTTCAGGTAATCAAAATCAACAAATGGGATGGTTCTGCAGTGAAAAATGCATTAGATGATGCAGTAAAAGAAGTAATCATAAGAAAGTACAATTACATAGAGAACTTTGCTATGTTTGATGTAAGGTTAGCTCTATGTGGAATTGCTGTTGCAGTGGCAATTGTTGGTCTTTTTTCTGACTATTTTTACCCTTTCCCTGCATCCAAACCCATTTTAGTTGTTTGTGTTTCAATATATTTCACCTTAATGGGGCTCTTAGCATTGTACACAACATACAAGGAGAAGGGTATATTTGTTGTTGCAATACAAAGGTAAACTATATTAATGTTGATATTATTTCTGATTTATGACTTTGAATGATAATTGTTGAAGCATTGTATTTATATATTGCAGAGATCCAGCTGGTTTCAATCCTGATCTTATTTGGGAAGCAAGTTCATACATGAAAAAACATGATGATAAATATAATCTTGTGCTGTCTGTTAGAAGTACAGCTACAGGACTTGTGAATGAAACTAGTGTCACAAAATCTATTGCAAGTTTTATTGATGTCAATGGTGTTGTCATTGATGACTTAGTAGAAAATGTTGTATCAAATATGCATGATAGTTTAACCAGTCAACGTAAAGAAAAGTAGTAGGAAAAACATTTAATCAAATGAGCCTGTTACTTTCTCTTTTATAATTTATGAAACAATAATTGTTTCTTTCACATTACATGTACTCCACCTTGGTGTAAATATGTTCTAAAAGCCGTTAATAGAATAAAAATTTTCTTGATCCACTTACATCACTAGTGAATTATTTACATAGCTACGTCATACTCTATTTGACAACTTTTTTAACAATATAATTAAGCTTAAATGGATGGTAGTTATCGAAATATGGTGTATGCATACCCCTAGCAATCAAGAAATAGAAAAGTGACACATATTAAGAGTATATAAAGAATATACTGTGAATAAACAGGGGTACATTCATGTAAAATGTGTCATCCTCGTACAGAATCGAAATGTTTTTCGTTTAATGTGATAAATATATATTTTTTTAGAAATGTACTTGTAAAAATAATAGACATTGTCCAGGTAATTTACATACTAAACCTCATTTTTTGAGGGAAAAAAAAGAAAAAGAAACGTTTCCAAACCGGTGATAATTTATAAATAATTTACATTCTATATTAACCATGCGTCGTATCATCTTCCACAAAATCTGCCGCCTCTTCTCGTGTTACACATACAACGTGAGAAACTTTATTTCTAAATTGTTACCTGAAAGTTGTGGTGATAAATTGGGCATCAGAACTAAGTTCGTGAATCATATCTGCCACAGCTTTCCTGTGTTGAGCATCTAGAGCTTGATCAATTTCATCGAACAAGTAAAATGGAGCCGGGTCGCATTTTTGAATTGCAAATATTAACGCTAACGCTACGAGTGATTTTTGTCCACCAGATAATTGATTCATTTCTCTCATTTCAGCTCTATGACCAGTGAAAGATACTCGTATACCTATGTGAAATAAAAAAATATTGTAACAATTTATTATTCTTAATTTTCCATAGTTAAATAAGAAATCGATGTGAAATCTTACCAACTCCGATAAATCTATCAGAGTCAGCAGCCTCTGTAGTCGTATCATCTCCTTCGTCCCCGTCCGCTGTTTTCATTACCAGTTGTGCGTGACCTGACGGCACAAGCTTCTTGAAAACTTCGCTGAAGTATTTGCTTACCTAAAATCGGGAAACAGACTTCAGTCCCGTGCATGGCTGTGACAGAGTAAACAACGGGACGGTGTCACGACGTAAGTACAATATAATATTATATTGCTTACTTGTTTAAATGTAAATTGAATTGCTTCGCATTTACGTTGTTCAAGTACTGACATTAATTCTTTAATTTTCTCATCACCTCTATCTAATTCTTCTTTTCTTTTCACCAATTTCTCTTTCTGATCGCTAAACGACATGAACTGATCCAATGCTTTCTTATTTACATGACTAAAATAAAAGGCATCGATGTATGTTTTCATTAAATATATAGTATATAGTATATATATCTTAATATGTATTATTGCATTGTTGTTATACCTGTATTTTTTTAAATGGTTGTTGGCCTTTTCCATTTCTTTGAACAACTGTTTGGTAGACATAACGCTAAATTTGGAGTATACTTCGTGACTAGGCAGTGCACCGAGTTCGGTAATTTTGTGTGTACACTCTACAATTTTTTGTTGTAAAATATTCAACTTGCTGGCTAATTTTTCTAAATCTTTAGCGTCGGCCTCTATTTTTTCCTGAGCTTCCTTTTCTTTGACCTTCCACTTTTCAACTTCTGATGATTCTGATTTTTGCTGCAAAGAACTTCATGTAGTAAGCGGACTATAATTAGCTAATGATGCGTGTGTTTACCTTTTTTATTGCATTAGTGACCCTTTCATTCTGAGCTTTGAAATCTGCATTTACTTTTACTAGTCTCTTTTCGATATCGGCTAATTGTGCTTTTGATGATTCTAACTGACGTTGTCGATCTTCCACCGATATTTCTTGCAATGCTTGAACCAATTCGTCTTTCCTCCTCACCAAATTATTGGTCAATAAATTTTCTAATTTATTTTTCTCCGCTTCTAATCGCATTCGTTTGGCAAACGCCTCTTTGTTGTCCTTTGTCAAGCGTCTGATATCATCATTTAACGTGTCAACTTGACGTTGATCAGCAACCGATAGTTGTGCCATGAGTTCTTGATGCAATTCACTTTCCAAACCTTCCTTCGTTGCACGCATTGCTTCTAAACTCGATGTACATTGTGCTAAGCTCCTTTCTTTTGGTGTGCGATATCGTTCTATTGCACTCAGTTCTTCTTTCATAAGTCGAATTTCTAAAAAAAAAAAAAAAAAAAAAAAAAAAAAAAATGAATTAAACATTGTTTGAAATCTATTAAAATAACATAAAATCTTACAAGAATAACTTACTTAGCTTTACTGTTCTTAGTTTCCGTTCTTTGCATTTCGCTAACATAGGAACTGATGTTTTGGTCCGCTTTTCTGATTTCTTCTTTAAGCGTTGCGAATTGAGATTCGAGAGATGAAATTTGGGCCATTAACTCTGATCTGGTTTTCTGTATTTCTAAACGCGATCTTAAAGTATTGAAGTATCCACCAGTTAAGGACCCTTTCGAGGATACTTGATCACCCTCAAGAGTGACACAATCCAAGCCCGATGTTCGGGCTAAATTTGTCGCAGCTTCTAAGTTACGACAGATTAAGGTCTTTCCAAAAATATACCTGTAATTGCAATTAAACATGGACGTGTTTGTAGCTTTCATCACTTATCGAAATTAGAAATATCAGTGTTTACTAACCTTAAAGCTTTATCATATTTCTGATCGTAATTTAACTGAGATATCATAGGTATAGCATCGCTAGTTTCTGGATAATCTATGTCTTTCACATGAAGTCGATTTAAAGGCATGAATGTTACTTCTCCCGGCAGTCGTTGGTTATTCATTTCTTTCAAGATTTTCGTTCCAAATTTATCAGTTTCGACAATGTGGTGGAACAACCTATTACCAGCAGTCACTTCTACAGCCATATAAACACTCTTGTCGCAACTGAAATTTTCAATTACAGGCCCATAATAACTACTCACCTCATGAGCCATATCTTTACGTGTTCTGTAAAGTAAACCTGTACATTAATCAATATGATCCCTCGCAAGTAATTAAATCATATCTACCGAAATGTATCCAGCACTTTCCGCACGCTATCTCGACCATTTAGGATAGGTTTCCCCGCCATAGATCGTAAACTTTGATCCGCTTTGGCCAAATCTTCTTTTAGCCCCGATAAATTAAGCTGTAACACGCTCTCTTGGCGATACCTGTGATGACATAAATTTAACTTACACATTGTTAAGTTTTTTGAACTATAAAAAAAGCTATATTGAATGAACAGACTGTTCTTTTCGAGTAGCTTGACATTGGTCCTTTGATTTGGTGAGTTCGTAATATTGTTTGTTGTGTTCGTCTATCGAAGCTCGTTGTTGCTCCATTTCACGCGTATGTTCTTCAATCTTCTTTTCTAAAGTAACCTGTTTCTCTGCATCCCGCTTTAAGTCTTCGCCAATTTTTCTTTGATGCTCCTCTTTATCTTTAATTTGTTTGGTAAGTTGTTTAAGCTCGTTTTGTATCCATTTATCTCTCTCATCCTAATGTGAAGGAATTATTACAGTATTTTTCGTACATTTCATCTTGCATTTAATAAAGTTTAATATTCAGTACCCTGCTTGTAAACTGGCTGCCACGTCCCTGCTTGGCATATAATTCTTTCCGCTTTTGCTCTTTTAATTGCAATTCACGCGTACATTCCTCCTCAACGCGTTTCATTTCCTCATACTAAAATGGAATTTATATTTATAATTTTCGAATTTAAATAGAGCAATAATAATATGACTTACTTCCGGTTTTAGTTCTTCCAATTCTGCTTCCCTTGCCGCAATATTCACTTTTAACTTCTCCAATTCTTGTTGGGCGCGTTTTCTACTGTCATTGTCTCCTTTGACTTCCTCCAATAAATCGTTAATGGTTAACGTTAACTTGGTCTTCTCTTTTAACAATTGTTGCTGCTCAGCACTGCAAATTTTATCTTTAATTTCCGGTTAACATAAGTATATTTATAAAAATATATCTTTATGAATATTACCTGAGCGTATCCCGTTCTTCTTTAGCGGTTTGCACTTCTTTCTTTGCTTCTTTAAGACGTTTTGTTGCGGCTCTTACCATTTCTTGAGCAGTTTTTGCTTCTGCACATAATCTTGCTTGTTCAGCACCGCTATTAGCTCTAGATTTTTCGAGTTCTTCCAGTTTTCTCTTATTCTCTTTGAGTTCCCGTTCGTGAATCGTATATTCTAAACAACGACGCTGTTTGTCCCAACATTGATATTCCTTGAGTTCTTCTTTTTCTTCTTCCAGCGTCTTTAAACGTTCCTCTACAATACAATTATGAATTATTATTCTATAGAAAGTTATCATACATTTAAATCATGATTTACCTATGGTTCTTAAAAAATCTTGAATTTTCTCTAGTTTCCCTTCAGTTTCTTTTAAAATAAATTTTGATTCCTCTCTCCTATCATCATATACTCTAGTGCCAGCTACTTCTCTTAACAATTTAAGTCTTTGAGAGTCAGGTGCAGTTGCCATTTGATTGATCTACACAATGTAATGCATCTATACCTTTTTCTGTTCTCATAAGTCATGAATTTAATATGATACATACCTTTCCCTGTTTTACAATATAATATGGATTTGATCTTGAAAATCCTGCTGATTCTAATAGATTCATCACATCATTTCTAGTTACAATCCTTTTATTAAGAAAATATTGGTCTTTCTTTGAGCCAATTACTCTTCTCAAATATACTTCCTCTTTATCAATCTATAAGAATAAACAACAAAGCTGCAGTGGAATGTTAAAAAATAAGGATATAAATATGTAACAATAAATTTTATATATACTGGTAATCTTCCATCAGAATTGTCAAATATAATTTCCACATGGGCAGAAATAACTCTTGGTCCTGTACCCTCATGTAACAAAGCCTGCCTCTGTTCAGGTCTGAGGTGAGAAAATTCATCACTTAGAACAAACTGAATTGCATAAAAGAAATTACTCTTGCCAGAACCATTTCTTCCAACTAGAAATAAAAGTATCATTTATATGTATTTCATTAAGAAATTCCTTCAATTAACATCAGTAACATAAATACACATACCAACTACATTGTGCCTTGGATCAAAGGGTTCTACTACTGTTTGTTCACGATATGACTTGAAACCCTGTATAATCACCTAATCACAGAAAGATTCATTGTATATAATATACTTAGTTTACCTATAATATTTAATTGTATTGAATTGCAATAGGAATATTTCATTAAGATCAAGACAACAATTCTCCTATAAAAAAAAGTTATTGGACACATTTGACATATTTCTAATCACTTAGGTAAATATAGATATTATGGTCACATTTTTAAGGTTTCCCTCTAACCTCGTAATAGTGTAACATCTTGTTTGACATTAACATCGAATGTAAGAAGTTACAGGCATTGTGTTTAAGATAATCTTTATAGGTGTTAAAGCTAAATTACAGTAACGATATTTGCTTCGATTGAAAAGCGTCTACCTAGAGGAAGTTGTGGAAAGCGCGCAAAAAGAGACGGACATTAACAAGACCATCTTTTTTTTTGTAATACCTGTTTGATGTACATGGTGAGATTAAAACTCATACGAGTACTTCTCGTGTTAACGTCCTACGGTAACTCAATCAGAAACTTAATTTCTGTGTCACTGAACGGAACAAAAACATTCAACCGACTTGTTGGCACAGCGACATTTATAAATTTGCAAGGCGACATTATAATAATGTCCCTAGATTTGGGCGGGAGACATGTTTCTGTTACCACTACATAAGTAAAGAAACACTACTTTTTATTTGACAAAAATCACTATTCTTTCATCCTATTTTTATCATAAGGATACGTGGCATAGAAATAACATTACGACAATAAGTGAGGTTTAACGAGTACTTTATTTTTACAAGAATATAAAGGATAAGTTCTACATTTTATTACTACATGTCACTTAATGATGAATGCTCAATGCATCACTTTGAACTTCATGACTCAATTGGGTTTGCAGATTAGACAGCTTATTTTTCAATGCTGCAATGCCCATCATTACAATATTCTCAGGTTTTAAAGCTCCACTGCTCTCAACATTGAAGTAATATTTATTAGGTTTCGCTTCCCAGTTGAATGGTGCCTCATCTAAAGCATTATACAATTTAATTTCACACATAAATCTTTTCTATAGCAATGCAATACTTACATTGATCTTCCTCTAATTCACTGTATTCTGATTTTGGCCATTCATCAGGCTTTGGGAATAATGTGTGCCTCATGGAATTATCTGGATCATATTCAAAGCTTACACCAGCAGTAGGATTCCACTTTGCATGTTCTTTTCCAAAACCTTTCTTTGCATATGCTCTTAGTTTTAGTTCTTGACCCTTTCTCAATTTAACTATCAAGATTTCTATAAAGAAATAGGTCAATTTATGTTGGATGTTAAATTATGATAGTGGTAGATGTGTCGCTATAAAAAATATCAACCATCTGTTTCTCCATATTCACTGGCATCATCTTCTCTATGCCTGGATGTAACAGGAAGAACTCTTGGATCACTGGATTTAAAATCTGCAGTGGTTACATGTCGCGTTTGATCTTCCGTACATTTTACATCAAGCGTGAATTCCACACTGCACTCAGGACAAAAATCCATGCACTGGCAATCTCTTGTATATTGTATCCTATCAACAACCTAAACAATTTTAATACAATCTTTTCTAGCTATGTTCAAAGATCATTAAAATATAAAGTGTCAGATTTTCAAATATTTACATCATCACTTATCAACGGTATCATTCCGATTCTATGCGCTAAAAATTCATCACTTAAGACGGTCGAATTGGCTTCTAATTGTATCCAATCGATAGCCATTGTAGGCGTTTCAGCGATAAAAACCCGCCTCATACTATTTGCTACACTATAATTGCATTGATACATTTAATAATATAAAAAAGGAACGTTAATTGTAGCATAACCTATTATACCTCAGTTCCGTATCTTCCACTTGAAATTTGACATTTTCTTCCGTTAAGTCCGAAATATGAACCGATGGCTGATTCGCGTATGGCATTTTGTTGGATTGTTTACCTTAAAAAGTATAGAGAAACTTATTTTATAATTAGTATACCTATTCTATTTCTCTTAAACGAAGTGTCACTTTTTCTGTTGGTATGCATATGGCATATGTACGTTCAGGAACGAGGCGCCATCGTTCAGTATTAAATATGTACCGGACTTATTTAAAAAACACTTACTTATTTCTTATCGTAAGGTATGAATAAAAAATTGTTTAAGATGTCGTGTATTTTTTATTAAAAAAAAGTCATTACACATCATTCGTCACATAATACGAAAAGTAGACAAAATTACATCGAAGAATATACTTGAACACTAAACAACATAATCGTCTTGCATAGTTTGTAGATTCTAGTAAAACTAATTCATAAACAAGGTTGAGTGTATAGAATAATTTGTCTAGTTGTTGTATATAAAGATAGCACATATACATATGTATAAATACCGAACAATAATCAGTAAAATCTAACACTTTAAATTACTATATACCTATATTGCCACTTCGGTTTGACTCGTTTTTATAATTTCGCAAGAAATTATATTAATGCATGCATGCAATCAATCATTTATGCAATAAATAATGAAAAAGAGAGTATATTTCTGGTAACATTTAAAAATAATATGAAACGTAAATATTACAAAGCTAACATTTGTATAATGCAAAGCCACTATTTTTTTATATGGCACTAAACGTTTGTAAAAATTGGAAGACTGTGGTTTATGGGACACTATTTCTTGAATATTTGAAGTTTGTGCAATCATAAATTATAATGTATTGTAAATGCAGCATAAATAGGAATACCAAAGCATATGAGAGCTGAGAGCATGGCATTAAGAAGTGTTAAAATTATTTTTACCAATGGAAGTTTTTGATAACTACTATGGAAAAAGATAAAAATTTTGGTAACGCATTTAATAATTGGCTCTCAAAGTTCGTCCGTGAAACGCTCGATATCTTGCAAGTGGTCTCCATAGTCTGTAGCTTCACTACCTACAAAAGTATCATGATGGTCTAAAATTTCATCGAACGATAATCTATTATCGTGATCATCGTCAGATGCCGCGAACAGATGTGTTACTTCGTTGCTTGCAATTTCCCTGTAATAATTAAAGATATGAAATATGCCTGACAATTAACAACCAAAATAAATTTGATATAATCATTTACTTACTCATTACTTGGCACTAGCCAAGAAAGTACCTCATCTGAATCTAGTCTCCCATCTCCATTTTTGTCATGCTCATAATCAAACTTGCTTTTTTCCATTAATAACCATTCTTTATCTTCTGCCTTTGCTTTGTTTCCAATAAATTCTTGAAAGCTAATAAACCCATCTTTATCTGTATCTTTGTCATCTAAGGCTTGCCTCAATAAAAGTGGGAACATTCTTGGTGTTTCTTCAGGATGAGTGTAAGCTTTAAATTCCTCTGTATCCAAATAACCATCCTTATCTATATCAGCTGCCTCAAATGTCTGCTTGTCATCAGTGATGAGTTTGTCATCCACTGCTAAATCCTCTGGATCCGTGCCATATGTATCTTGTAAAATTTCACTCCAACTGACTTTACCATCTTCATCTGTATCAGCATCCTCTAGCCTGTCTTGAGATTCTTCAGCAGAAAGCATGCTAAAGGAACGCAAAATCCAAGCTTTTAGCTCATTTCTCTCAATGTACTTGTCATTATTCAGATCCATTTTTGTCAATAAAATTCCCAATCTTCTCTTGGACTCTTCTGTTGGAAGTTTATCAAATTTTTCTGTTTCCTTTACACTTCCTGTGAAAAATAACGGAGCATACTTTGTTATTATATATTGCTCTGCTTCCAATTCGACAAGCTGTGAAAGTAATACAAATTAGGGTATACCAAGAATAGCCTCATGATCGAAATCCTGATGATTTTCTCTCGTATAATGGTCCTTTCCTCGTGGACTAAACGGACCATCCTTTGTTCTCTCACCGCTATTAGCTTTATTATGTTGAGAGTGTATATGCGCCGATGCTGCGTTTCCGAAAGAGCATAATCCAAAGGTCGTAATAATGAAAAGAAGAAGAGTTGTGACACGCATTTGGCGTGTATTCATCGTAAGTTCTGTGAATATTCTGAAAATTAAGCGTAAACGGAGATAACCTCACAACATGAAGAATTTGACAGATACACTATCATGTATGCCGAATGCCATAACGAGTTTTATCGATTGCTCGTCTTTACGCATGTCGTATAATCGTTCTCGAAAATCGATCTTGATAAAATTCAAATTCGATAGGTTTCGATAGAATTATCAGTTAGTTCTGAAAATGGCGTGTTTAATTACGAAGCGTTTGTCTAAATTGTAGAAAATTGAATTTTTAAATATGGATTCATATTGTGCTTTTGTTTTTTAGTGGTTCCCTTAAAAGTGACAAAATCCAAGAAGTTTTATCGATGATATTTGCAGCTAATACTGCGAAAATGACGACAGAGAATCGAGATGAGTGACTATAAAATTTTACATGCAAATGATTTAACAATGCTGTATCATTGATTTATAAGAATACGATAGTCTCTACTCTTACTTTCGTATTGTGTATTAAATAAGATTACTTACCCGTTAAAAAATGTTCAACTATTCAAATTGACATCGTAATGAATTAATATTCTACTCTCATAAAAAGATAATCTTTAGTCAAGGAAATATTCGATTTTTTCCTTGCCTGTTCACTTTTTTCTTAAATTAAACTCTCTTTCATTCGAGATATCAGTAACACACGCGCGTGTCGAAATACATGTAGTCGTTTGCTGCGTCTCGTCGTGAAAAGAAACGAAGAAAAAAAAAAGCGTCAGGGCTGCCTTAGCCACGATCAGTATGTGCAGTCATGATTTTGTTCTAGGGCGTGCGTTCAAAAATAGACTAACCGTACTAACACGCGTTCAATTTATTTCTAACTCCAGTGATCCTATGAGCGTGTTACACAAACTGCGAAAGATACTGTGAGAACAAAGTCTCCCAGGAAGATCTTTTTTCACTCATGATAGTGTTACGATAAGCCATGAAAGTGGAAACCGGAAGTACGAGCTTCCAGGAATATCGTTTTGAAATATTATCGTCTGAAATAGATAGCACTCTCCATCTTTCCTTTTTTATCGGGACAAAATTGTATTCTTGATATATGAACGTTTAAAAAATTCGTTTTCTTTATCTAACACTTTGAATTTTTATACGAAAATTTAAACTAGTAGCTAGTTAATATGTCATTCGATTCACTAATCCTATTGTCCGGTAAAGGAAACGAGGCTTCTGACGTCATCGTCTGGCCAAATAAGCGGAAAATAGGTGGACAAGCCTTCCCCACTATTGTTCCTTTGAGGGGAAGTTGCAGTGTAGGTAAATGGTTTAGAGAAATATTCAACCAGCTGTCGATAATGTAGCACGTTGATAAAAGAAAGATTATTTAGTCGCCTTTAGTTGACAGTGGAGGAGGAAGAATTTAGCAGTAGTCAGTAACTTTTTGTGCAGAACTATTCGTATTCGAAAAATGTTTCATATAAAACTTACTTAAAGGGGTACTCTTTAAAGTAATAACACAATTAATTGGAAGTTTCTTAATTTTACAGTCTAGTAAGGAGTGTGTTGGCAGCAATTAACAATTGCATGCAGTAGATTAGTTAGAAATTATTTACGAATGTTATTAAAAATTAGGAAAATTAATATTCTTTTCGTATGAATTACAGATGGACCTCTGAGGATACCATAGAAATCAAGAAAAGGACTTGAAGAAGAAATACAATTATTTATGAAAATATCAATTATTTATTGTAAAATAGCGGTATAAAATGTATTTAATAATAGGATATAATTCAGTATTGTTTTACAGCACATTTTTCAATCTATTCATTCTTTCCTTACACACCTCACCCATTTCCTTTTGTCAAACACTCATTCCTTAAATAATATTCCATTACAAAATGAAATAAACTAAGTCCGGATATCGCTACGAGCGCGTAATAATCGAAAAAATCCCAAAATTTAAGCTACTGTGTGTTATACATTTAAAAGTATAGAATTCTATATTACCTTGTGTAGGGGTAACGTTGGAAGTGACACGAAAATGGTAAGGGCACTCTCAGACTCTCTGACGTAGACAAAAAAATGTATTAGGTACTATGTAGTTTTATCCTGTATCTTGTGTGCAATTCTAAGTTATTGAAATTTCATAATTGTTATTATTTCCTTCTTCTTTTTCATTTCAATGTGGAGTAGGGAATGTAAATGATTAATGAAGTTTTTTCCCTTTGCTTTGTGTGATTAATTTTTTTGTAATTCATATTGGAAGATGGTCATGTACCATTAGTAGTGTTTACCACGAGGTATTTACCAATACAGAAAAGTGTAAAACAAGGAAAGGCATATGGGTAGATAAGGACAGCATTAGAGAAATGAGTTAGACAAGGACAGAAAATTTGAAATGTGAAACTAATGCCATCTCGCGTCTGGTCACACGAACTACCACTTTTTAATAGGAACACAGAATATAAACAGAGGTATTAGACAAGGAACGCACTAGTGTGCGACAAGGATAGAGAGAGAACGCTTCCTATTGGCTGGCGGGCCGCTGAGCTCCGCCAATCAGGCTCTAAGTCAAGCCGGTCGGTGAAAAATCATTAATAACTCAATAATTACGATGATTTTATGAACTTTTAGAATTGAAGAATTTAGCGTGGACCTTCACCAACTTTCACATATAGTTTTTAATGCTCTAGCCCCTTTCAATAATTAGTTATTAACAATTATAGTACGTGATGTCGGGAACGATACCGCATACCGTAAAGTATCTTGACGGTTTTTCAGTAATTTCATAGCTTTATACTAAATTCTCGTGTAACTAACTATACGCATTTGAAAGGCAACTCCTTTAGCTATATTCTTATATAATTTTTATTAACATATTCGATTTAGTTTAGGAGTTATTAAACATTATATGAGAGCGTTCTCTATACATCAAACTCGTGTATAGTCAACTGTTGTAAACAATTGCTAATATCTAATAAATCATACTACTTACGGTTATAAAACAAATTGCAGAATATAAATAAAAGTCTATTCTACATTCTACATGCTTCAAAGTGCATAATTAATCATGCGTTTCCATTGAAATAACGAAAATGTGTTACTATTGAATGCCATGGGTGTAATACTCTCCCAAAGAATGTTTAATAACTCTTAAACTAGGCGAAATATGTTAATAAAAATTATATGAGAAAGTAGCCAAAAGAGTTGCCTTTCAGATGCGTGTAGTTGCTTACACGAGAATTTAGTAGAAAGCTATGAAATTATTGAACACTTGACGGTATGCGGTATTGTTCTCGACATCGCACACTAAAATTATTAATATTTAATTATTGCAAAGGTTTAGAGCATCAAAATCTATATGAGAAATTAGCTAAAGGAATAACCTTTCAAACGCACATATGAAAGTGCATACATTATTTGTGGAAAGTTACAAAATTAACGAAAAACAAGAAGAATGTGCGGTATCCCGTACTAAATTTACCGACATCACGTACTATAATTGTTAATAACTAATTATTGAAGGGGTCTAGTTCACTAAAAGCTATATGTGAAAGCTGGTGAAGGTCCACGTTAAATTCTTCAATTCTAAAAGTTCATAGAATCATCGTAATTATTGGGTTATTAATGATTTTTCACCGACCGGCTTGACTTAGGGCTTGATTGGCAGAGCTCAGCGGCCCGCCAGCCAATAGGAAGCGTTCTCTCTCTATCCTTGTCGCACACTAGTGCGCTCCTTGTCTAATACCTCTGTTGGTATTCTGTTTTCCTATTGAAAAGTCGTAATTCGCGTCACCAAACACGAGATGGCGTTAGTTCCTCTTGGTAATTTTCGTTCTTTGTCTACTCGTATATCTTTCCCTGTCTAACTCATTCCTTTGTGCTATCCTTGTCTGCCACTATTTCTTTTCTTGTCTAAATCTCTTCGTTGTTGCTATCCTTGTTATCCCTATTGCATTTAATTGAAATTTATAATAAATTTTTACTTGTTTTAACATTACCAATAATGTAGATAGTAAAATATAGTTCCTGGCTCATTTTCAAGTACTTTAATTATAGAATAATTGGAGTTTCTTGTTAAATAACAATTTGATTTGGTAGTTTATAATGATTAGAAGTATTAAATAGATTCGTTGCATGATTTAACTTAATAAAACATCTGAATATACTGTTATTTCATTGAATTAACCATTGTATTTGCTAGATTAGTCGGAAATTGTTTATAACTTTTGTTAACAATTAGAAAAACTAATGTTCTTTTTGTGTGAATTCCAGATGGAACCCTCAGACGACCGCAGGAGTCCAGAAAGGGGCTTCAACATCAGAAGAAACGAAGAAATACAATTATTTATCGAAAAATCGGTTATTTATTGTAAAATTATTGTTAAAATGTATTTTACAAAAGGTTACAATATACCAGTATTGTTTTACAGCATTTTACAGTCTATTTATTGCTCCCTTATACACCAAATCCATTTGTTTTTCCAAAAAATCCATTGTTTAAACAATATTCTATTGCAAAATTGAATAAATCAATGCCAGAGACCCCCAGGAATGCGTTTCCATCGAAAATATCGAAAAAATCCCGAAATTCTAGCGAAAACTACGAAAATTAGGCGAATATTTCGAAAATCGCGCGAGTTCACTCGTTCGGTGCTAAAGTCCTCGAGAATTCCTGGAATTTACGTCATTTCTCGGAAATGACCAAATTTCCAAGAATCGAGGCGATTCCAAGAATTGACCAATGGGCCTTCGAAAATTTCGGTTCTCGAGAATTCCAGGAATTTGGTCATTTCCGAGAATCGAGTCGATTCCAAAAATCGCGCGAATATACTCGTTCGGTGCTAGAGTCCTCGAGAATTCCTGGAATTTTCGTCATTTCTCGGAAATGACGAAATTTCCGAGAATCGAGTTGATTCTAGGAAGCGACCTCCTTTCACATCATGTTCGCCTATTAGAAAGTCGATTTTCGGGCAAAAATTTTCGAAAGTCGGAAATTCTGACTTTCTAATAGGCGAACATGATGTGAAAGGAGGTCGCTTCTTGGAATCGACTCGATTCTTGGAAATTTCGTCATTTCCGAGAAATGACGTAAATTCCAGGAATTCTCGAGAACTGAAATTTTCAAAGACCCTTTGGCCCAAAATCGACTTTCTAATAGGCGAACATGATATGGCAAGAGGTCAGTTCCTGGAAGTGACTCGATTCTCGGAAATTTCGTCATTTCCGAGAAATGACGTAAATTCCAGGAATTCTCGAGAACTGAAATTTTCAAAGACCCTTTGGCCAAAATCTGACATTTCATTAGGCGAACATGATATGACAGGAGGTCAGTTCTTGGAAGTGACTCGATTCTCGGAAATTTGGTCATTTCCGAGAAATGACGTAAATTCCAGGAATTCCCGAGGACTTTAGCACCGAACGAGTGTACCCGCGCGATTTTCGAAATATTCGCCTAATTTTCGTAGTTTTCGCTAGAATTTCGGGATTTTTTCGATTTTTTCGATGCAAACGCATTCCTGGGAGTGTCTGGCATTAATTTATTCAATTTTGCAATGCAAATTTGTTTAAACAATGGGTGTTTTGCAAAAACAAATGGATTTGGTGTATAAGG